TGAAAAGTCCTTTGTACACCGTCCATCGATCTCCATACACTTCACAACCTTGAAAAAATAGAAATCAATGTTGAAACAGTCATCAGTATACATGTATATCGCATACAGCACACAATTAGCATGTTTAAACAATGATGATTACATAATCTTGGTGAGTGAGTGAGGTTATCACCGCTTCAACATTTGTTTAGTTATATCATGACGTGTCAGCTAGGTAGGCCTGATTTGACGCAGATCTTAGACGTGTATCACATTATTAAAACACACGAGCAGGATATGATACTGTCAATATAGTTTTACACTGCTTTTAGCAATAATCCAGCAATATCACGGCGGGGGACTCTAGACATGGCTTCACACACTGTACCCATGTGAGGAATTGAACCCTGGTCCTCGGCTTGACGAGCGAACGCTTGGCTACCCCAACCACACCGTCAAACTAAGAAACATGATTCCTACGGATCTGGAATGTGAGCCCATTTCTGGAGGAAAATATGAGGAGATATAGGCGCCGTATATTGTTCTCACAAATTAAACAGTGGTTATCTCATGGCTATTGAAGGTACGACCGCTTGTAAAACTGTGGATCATTGATAAGGAAACAAAACCTAATAACTTGTAAAACCTCAGTTGTAGTAACGATATGTCATTGTGTATCAGTTTTGACTTACTCTTGATACAGGTGTTGTCAGCAGGGTTGATACGTAATCTCGGCGGACATTTGCATCTCCCCTCGTCGCACATAAGTCTGCCTGGACAGTCGCCGTCCTTGCACCTTCTTTTTAGCACATTTACCGGTTTACCTGTGTTTATTCAAGATTTATTCTGCATATGTAAATACCAAACAGTATAGGAGTGATGGAGCGATGATGTTTACTATCAGGAGCAATATTTCACCAGAAAGTAGGAGCCAGACAGCAAGAGCAAGACAGCAGGAGCAAGAAAACACGAGCCAGACAGCAGAAACAGACAGAAGGAGCCACACAGTAGGACCCATACAGTAGGAGCCAGAAAGCAGAGCCAGACAGAAGGAGCAAGAAAGCAGGGTCAGATAGCAGGAGCCAGACAGCAGGAGCTAGACAGGAGCCAGACAGCAGGAGATAGAAAGCAGGGGCCAGAAAGCATGAGCCAGAGCGCATAAGCCAGACAGCGGGAGCCAGACAGCAGGAGCCAGAAAACACGAGCGAGACAGCAGGAGCATGAAAGCAGGAGCCACACATCAGGAGCCAGAAAGCAGAGCCAGGCAGAAGGAGCAAGAAAGCAGGAGCCAGAAAGCAGGAGCCAGAAGGCAGGGGCCAGACAGAAGGAGCCAGACAGCAGGAGGAAGAAAGCAGGAGCCACACATCAGGAGCCAGAAAGCAGAGCCAGGCAGAAGGAGCAAGAAAGCAGGAGCCAGAAAGCAGGAGCCAGGAGGCAGGGGCCAGACAGCAGGAGACAGACAGCAGGAGACAGAGAGGAACAGCCAGACAGAATAGCCACACAGCAGGAGCCACACATCAGGAGCCAGAAAGCAGAGCCAGGCAGAAGGAGCAAGAAAGCAGGAACCAGACAGAAGGACCCAGATATTAGAAGTCATAACGTAGGAGCCAGACAACAGAGCCAGACAGCAGGAGCCAGACAACAGGAGCCAGACATCAGCAGCCATACCGCAGGAGCCAGACAGCAGGAGCCAGAAAGCAGGAGCCAGAAGGCAGGGGCCAGAAAGCAGGAGCCAGCCACACAGAAGGGGCCAGAATGCAGGAACCAGACAACAGGAGCCAGAAAGCAGGAGCCAGACAGCAGGAGCTAGAAAGCAGAGGCCAGAAAGCAGGAGCCAGAGAGCAGGAGCCAGTCAGCGGGAGCCAGACAGCAGGAGCCAGAAAGCAGGAGCCAGACAGCAGGAGACAGAGAGGAGCAGCCAGACAGAATAGCCAGGCAGCAGGAGCCAGAGAGGAGGAGCCAGACAGCAGGAGCCACACAGCAGGAGCCAGAAAGTAGAAGCCAGACAGCAGGGGCAAGAAACCAGAGCCAGACAGCAGCAGCTAGAAAGCAGGGGCCAGAAATCAGGAGCCAGAGAGCAGGAGCCAGACAGCGGGAGCCAGAAAACACGAGCCAGACAGCAGGAGCATAAAAGCAGGAGCCAGAGAACAGGAGCCAGACAGCGGGGGCCAGGGAGCAAGAGCCAGAAAGCAGGAGCCAGAAGGCAGGGGCCAGACAGCAGGAGCCAGACAGCAGGAGCCACACAGTAGGAGCCAGACAGCAGGAGCCAGAAACCAGAGCCAGACAGCAGGAACTAGAAAGCATAGGCCAGAAAGTAGGAGCCAGACAGCAGGAGACAGACAGCAGGAGACAGAGAGGAGCAACCAGACAGAATAGCCAGACAGGAGGAGCCAGACAGCAGGAGCCAGAGAGCAGGAGCCAGACAGCGGAAGCCAGAAAACACGAGCCAGACAGCAGGAGCATGAAAGCAGGAGCCAGAGAACAGGAGCCAGACAGCGGGGGCCAGAGAGCAAGAGGCAGAAAGCAGGAGCCAGAAGGCAGGGGCCAGACAGCAGGAGCCAGACAGCGGGAGACAGAGAGGAGCAGCCAGACAGGATAGCCAGACAGTAGGAGCCAGAAAGCCGTAGCCAGACAACAGGAGCCAGACAGCAGGAGCCACACAGTAGGAGCCAGACAGCAGGAGCCAGTAACCAGAGCCAGACAGCAGGAACTAGAAAGCATAGGCCAGAAAGCAGGAGCCAGAGAGCAGGAGCCAGACAGCAGGAGTCAGACAGCAGGAGACAGAGAGGAGCAACCAGACAGAATAGCCACACAGCAGGAGCCACACAGCAGGAGCCAGAAAGTAGGAGCCGGACAGCAGGAGCCAGAAAGCAGAGCCAGACAACAGGAGCAAGAAAGCAGGGTCAGATAGCAGGAGCCAGACAGCGGGAGCCAGAAAACACGAGCCAGACAGCAGGAGCATGAAAGCAGGAGCCAGAGAGCAGGAACCAGACAGCGGGGGCCAGACAGCAAGAGCCAGAAAGCTGGAGCCAGAAGGCAGCGGCCAGACAGCAGGAGCCAGAAAGCAGGAGCCAGACAGGAGGAGCCAGAAAGCAGGGGCCAGGAAGCATGAGCCAGAGAGCAGGAGCCAGACAGCGGCAGACAGACATCATGAACCAGACAGCGGGAGCCAGAAAGCAGGAGCCAGACAGTAGGAACAAGACAGCAGGAGCCAGACAGTAGGAACCAGAAAGCAGGAGCCAGAGATGAGCAGCTAGACAGAAGAGCCACACAGCAGAGCCAGAAAGCAGGAGCCACACAGCAGGAGCCAGAAAGTAGGAGCCAGAAAGTAGGAACAAGAAAGCTGAGCCAGACAGAAGGAGCAAGAAAGCAGGAGTCAGATAGCAGGAGTCAGATAGCAGGAGCCAGAAAGCAGGAGCCAGAAAGCTGGAGCCAGACAGCAGGAGCCACACAGCAGGAGCCACACAGTAGGAGCCAGTAAGTAGGAACCAGAAAGCTGAGCCAGACAGAAGCAAGAAAGCAGGGTCAGATAGCAGGAGCCAGACAGCAGGAGCCAGACAGTACGAGCCAAACAGGAGCCAGATAGTAGAGCCAGACTGCAGGTGCCAGACAGCAGGAGCCAAAAAGCAGGAACTACAAAACAGGAGCCAGCCAGCAGGAGCCAGAAAACAGGAGCCAGACAGGAGGAGCCGAAAATCAGGGGACAGCCAGCATGAGCCAGAGAGCAGGAGCCAGTCGGGGGGAGCCAGACATCATGAACCAGACAGCGGAAGCTAGACAGCAGGAGCCAGGAAACAGGAGGCAGAAAGCAGGAGCAGGAAAGTAGGAACCAGACAGCAGGGGCCAGAGAGGAGCAGCTAGACAGAAGAGCCACACATCAGGAGCCAGAAAGCAGGATCCAGACAGCAGGAGCCAGAAATCAGGATCCATACAGCAGGAGCCAGAAAGTAGGAGCCAGTAAGTAGGAACCAGAAAGCAGAGCCAGACAAAGGGAGCAAGAAAGCAGGGTCAGATAGCAGGAGCCAGACAGCAGGAGCCAGAAAGTACGAGCCAAACAGGAGCCAGATAGTAGAGCCAGACTGCAGGTGCCAGACAGCAGGAGCCAAAAAGCAGGAGCAAAACAACAGGAGCCAGACAAAAGGAGCCAGAAACCAGGAGCCAGACAGCGGGAGCTAGACAGGACCCAGACAGCAGGATCAAGATAACAGGAGCCAGACAGGAGGAGCCAGAAATCAGGGGACAGGAAGCATGAGCCAGAGAGCAGGAGCCAGTCGGGGAGCCAGACATCATGAACCAGACAGCGGGAGCCAGACAGCAGGAGCCAGGAAACAGGAAGCAGAAAGCAGGAGCAGGAAAGCAGGAACCAGACAGCAGGAGCCAGATAGCAGGAGCCAGACAGTAGGAACCAGACAGCAGGGGCCAGAGAGGAGCAGCTAGACAGAAGAGCCACACATCAGGAGCCAGAAAGCAGGATCCAGACAGCAGGAGCCAGAAATCAGGAACTACAAAACAGGAGCCAGACAGCAGGAGCCAGAAAACAGGAGCAAAACAACAGGAACCAGACAACAGGAGCCAGAAACCAGGAGCCAGACAGCGGGAGCTAGACAGGACCCAGACAGCAGGATCAAGAAAACAGGAGCCAGACAGGAGGAGCCAGAAATCAGGGGACAGGAAGCATGAGCTAGAGAGCAGGAGCCAGTCGGGGAGCCAGACATCATGAACCAGACAGCGGGAGCCATACAGCAGGAGCCAGACAGAAGGAACCAGACAGCAGGAGCCAGAGAGGAGCAGCTAGACAGAAGAGCCACACAGCAGGAGCCAGAAAGCAGGAGCCAGAAAGCAGGAGTCACACAGCAGGAGCCAGAAAGTAGGACCCAGAAAGTAGGAACCAGAAATCTGAGCCAGACAGAAGGAGCAAGAAAGCAGGGTCAGATAGCAGTAGCCGGAAAGCAGGAGCCAGAAAGGAGGAGCCAAACAGGAGCTAGACTGCAGGAGCCGGACATCAGGAGACAGACGGAAGGATGCAGACAGCAGAAGCCAGAAAACACGAGCCAGACAGCAGGAGCCAGAAAACAGGAGCCAAACATCAGGAACCAGAGAACAGGAGCCAGAAACCAGGAGCCAGACAGCGGGAGCTAGACAGGACCTGGACAGCAGGATCAAGAAAACGGGAGACAGACAGTAGGAGCCAGAAAGCAGGGGCCAGGAAGCATGAGCTAGAGAGCAGGAGCCAGACAGCGGGAGCCAGACATCATGAACCAGACAGGGGGAGCCAGACAGCAGGAGCCAGGAAACAGGAGCCAGACAGCAGGAGCAAGAAAGCAGGAACCATTAGGCAGGGACCAGACAGCAGGAGCCAGACAGGAGGAGCAAGACAGTAGGAACCAGACAGCAGGAGCCAGAGAGGAGCAGCTAGACAGAAGAGCCACACAGCAGGAGCCAGAAAGCAGGATCCAGACAGCAGGAGCCGAGAAAGTAGGAGCCAGTAAGTAGTAACCAGAAAGCTGAGCCAGACAGGACCAAGAAAGCAGGGTCAGATAGCAGGACCCAGACAGCAGGATCAAGAAAACGGGAGACAGACAGTAGGAGCCAGAAAGCGGGGGCCAGGAAGCATGAGCTAGAGAGCAGGAGCCAGACAGCGGGAGCCAGACATCATGAACCAGACAGGGGGAGCCAGACAGCAGGAGCCAGGAAACAGGAGCCAGACAGCAGGAGCAAGAAAGCAGGAACCATTAGGCAGGGACCAGACAGCAGGAGCCAGACAGCAGGAGCAAGACAGTAGGAACCAGACAGCAGGAGCCAGAGAGGAGCAGCTAGACAGAATAGCCACACAGCAGGAGCCAGAAAGCAGGATCCAGACAGCAGGAGCCGAGAAAGTAGGAGCCAGTAAGTAGTAACCAGAAAGCTGAGCCAGACAGGAGCAAGAAAGCAGGGTCAGATAGCAGGAGCCAGACAGCAGGAGCCAGAAAGTACGAGCCAAACAGGAGCCAGATAGCAGAGACAGACTGCAGGTGCCAGACAGCAGGAGCCAAAAAGCAGGAACTACAAAACAGGAGCCAGCCAGCAGGAGCCAGAAAACAGGAGCCAGACAGTAGGAGCCAGAAAGCGGGGGCCAGGAAGCATGAGCTAGAGAGCAGGAGCCAGACAGCGGGAGCCAGACATCATGAACCAGACAGGGGGAGCCAGACAGCAGGAGCCAGGAAACAGGAGCCAGACAGCAGGAGCAAGAAAGCAGGAACCATTAGGCAGGGACCAGACAGCAGGAGCCAGACAGCAGGAGCAAGACAGTAGGAACCAGACAGCAGGAGCCAGAGAGGAGCAGCTAGACAGAATAGCCACACAGCAGGAGCCAGAAAGCAGGATCCAGACAGCAGGAGCCGAGAAAGTAGGAGCCAGTAAGTAGTAACCAGAAAGCTGAGCCAGACAGGAGCAAGAAAGCAGGGTCAGATAGCAGGAGCCAGACAGCAGGAGCCAGAAAGTACGAGCCAAACAGGAGCCAGATAGCAGAGACAGACTGCAGGTGCCAGACAGCAGGAGCCAAAAAGCAGGAACTACAAAACAGGAGCCAGCCAGCAGGAGCCAGAAAACAGGAGCCAGACAACAGGAACCAGACAACAGGAGCCAGAAACCAGGAGCCAGACAGCGGGAGCTAGACAGGACCCAGACAGGAGGATCAAGAAAACAGGAGCCAGGCAGCAGGATCCAGAAAACCGAGCCAGACAACAGGAACCAGACAACAGGAGCCAGAAACCAGGAGCCAGACAGCAGGAGCTAGACAGGACCCAGACAGGAGGATCAAGAAAACAGGAGCCACACAGCAGGATCGAGAAAGGAGGAGCTAAACAGGAGCCAGACTGCAGGAGCCAGACATCAGGAGCCAGACGGTAGGATGCAGACAGCAGGAGCCAGTAAACACGAGCCAGACAACAGGAGCCAGCCAGACAACAGAACCAGACAGCAGGAGCTAGACAGCAAAAGCCAGAGAACAGAACCAGACACCAGGAGTCAGAAAGCAGGAGCTACTCTTTATTAGTAAAGGCTGTTGACGAAGTGTTACACAATATAGACGAAAGTGTTAGATACATGTCAGAGGCCTTGTGCACGGCAGCAAGCGACATGAAAAGAGTGTGTACTTCTAACACATCTAGTCAACAGTGGTTTGACCGTGAATGTGAGCTACTCAAAAAGGAAAGATGTAAATATTTAAACAATTTTAGGAGAAAAAAGGATAATAACTCATTATATGAGTATAATTATATTAGAAATAAATATAATAGTGTATGCAGAGAAAAGAAAACGAATTTTTTCAAAGAGAAACAGGAAAAACTTGAACATTGTATACGCGATTCTAAACAATTTTGGGCAACTCTTAAAGGGCTAAATACTAATCGTTATACACAAAACAATATTCCAATTGATGATTGGTTTAACTAATTCAGGGATCTGTTTTCAACTTCTACAGAGAACGAGGAAAGATGTTTTGATATCGACGAATGGAATGTATTTGATAACTCTTTTTGTCAGTTAACTTCAGATATTCTTGATTCACCTATAACAAGAAATGAAATTTCAGAAAGCATCGCAAACTTAAAAAGCAATAAAGCAGCTGGTGAAGATAATTTGATTCCTGAATTTTTTAAATATTCGTCCGATATTCTCCTCCCCTACCTTGAAATTCTTTTTAACGTTATGCTTGAAAAGACTTATTTTCCAGAACTGTGGACTCTGGGGATAATAATTCCTTTGCACAAACAGGGATCAACTAATGTCACCAATAACTATAGGGGTGTAACTCTTTTGAGTGTTTTCAGTAAGATTTTTACCAGTATTATACACAAACGTTTAGTATTTTGGACCGATTCCTTTAATAAGATAGATGAAGCACAAGCCGGTTTCAGGCATGGATACTCTACAATTGATAATGTAATTGTATTGCAGACACTTGTACAGAGATATTTAGCACGAAAAGGAGAAAAAATGTATCCTATATTTGTTGATTTTGCTAAGGCGTTTGACTCAATTAACCGAAACATGTTGTGGTCCCTTTGCAAATCTCAAGGTATCAGTACTAAAATTGGTAAATTACTATGTTGTATATATCACAATGTGAAGGTCTGTGTTCGAAACAATAACACCTTATCTGATTCCTTCTACTGTAATATTGGGGTTAGACAAGGATGTATTCTAAGTCCATTCCTGTTTTCATTTTTCAATAATGAACTTTCGATACAAATATCTGAAAATTGTAACGAGGGTATCCAACTCCATCCAGAAACTATTAAACTTTTCCTACTCCTTGTTGCTGATGATATAGTTATGTTCTCGAGCACAGTACCTGGACTTCAAAAGTTAATAAATGAACTTGAGTATTATTGTAACAAATGGAAATTGAAGGTCAATATCGATAAGACAAAGGTTGTAGTTTTCAAAAATGGAGGGGAATTATCAAAACGAGAAAAATGGCTATATAAAGGTGAAAAACTTGAGGTTGTAAGAAGTTACAAATATTTGGGGGTACATTTTACAAATCGACTTACTTGGTCGCTGCATTGCAACAAAGCCGCACTACAAGCCAAAAAGATTTTAATTGGCATTTTACAAAACCTAAAACCCCTTGGAAATATTAGCTTTGAAACATTCTCTAAGATTTTCGACACTAAGATCAGTCCTATTTTACTCTATGGTGCTGAAGTCTGGGGCCTAGAGAACTATGATACAATAGAGAAGGTACATCTATTTGCGTATAAAAGATTTTTAGGAGTAAATTCCAACACTCCAAATGTTACAGTTTACGGGGAATGTGGGAGATACCCAATGTATATATTCAGTTACATAAAAGTAATAAAATATTGGATAAAATTGCTTAAAATGCCAAATACCAGATTCCCAAAGAAATGCTATAACATGGTGAATCTTTACGATCGCAGAGGTAAAAATAACTGGGCCTCGGGTGTCAAAAAGATACTCCAATCTTGCGGGTATGAGTACATTTGGAGAGAGCAACATGTAACAGTACCCGATCGTTTCATATATAATTTAAGACAAAGGCTAAAAGATATGTATTTTCAAAAGTGGTACTCTTCACTAAACTTACATAATAAGTTAAAGCATTACACCTGTTTTAAATCATTCATTCTGACCGAAAAATATCTTTTGGATATAAATGTTAAGAAATTCCGAACAACACTATCCCGTTTCAGATGTAGTTCTCATGACCTTCTAATAGAAAAAGGTAGATATTTAGCGATACCAAGGGAAAACAGATTGTGTAAATATTGTACTTGCCAAGAGATAGAAGATGAATACCATTTTTTGCTAGTCTGTCCATTGTATGCAAATATCAGAAAAGAATACATACATAAATATTTTTATCTGAATCCTAGAATAGACAAATTTTATATCCTCATGTCATCCCAAAATGAAACAGTCACAAAATATCTTTCAATGTATATATATCATGCAATGAACATCAGATCCTCTGCACTATAGATGTGATATTTTGTTACGATATATGTAATTCCTATTGCACCTATTGCTACTGTATGTATATATGTACTATAGGCCTATGGCCTTTTCAGTACTTGAAATAAAGATTGAAGCAGGAGCCAGACAGCAGGAGCTAGAAAGCAGGGGCCAGAAATCAGGAGCCAGAGAGTAGGAGACAGCCAGCGGGAGCCAGAAAACACGAGCCAGACAGCAGGAGCATGAAAGCTGGAGCCAGAGAGCAGGAGCCAGACAGCGGGGGCCAGACGGCAAGAGCCAGAAAGCTGGAGCAAGAAGGCAGCGGCCAGACAGCAGGAGCTAGAAAGCATAGGTCAGAGAGCAGGAACCAGACAGCGGGAGCCAGACAGCAGGATATAGAAAGCAGGAGCCAGAAGGCAGGGGCCAGACAGCACGAGACAGAGAGGAGCAACCAGACAGAATAGCCACACAGCAGTAGCCACACAGCAGGAGCCACACAGCAGGAGCCAGAAAGTAGGAGCCAGACAGCAGGAGCCATAAAGCAGAGCCAAACAGACGGAGCAACAAAGCAGGGTCAGATAGCAGGAGCCAGACAGCAGGAGCCAGAAAATACGAGCCAAACAGGAGCCAGATAGTAGAGCCAGACTGCAGGTGCCAGACAGCAGGAGCCAAAAAGCAGGAACTACAAAACAGGAGCCAGATAGCAGGAGCCAGAAAACAGGAGCCAAACAACAGGAGCCAGAAACCAGGAGCCAGACAGCGGGAGCTAGACAGGACCCAGACAGTAGGATCAAGAAAAAAGGAGCCAGACAGTAGGAGCCAGAAAGCAGGGCCCAGGAAGCATGAGCCAGAGAGTAGGAGCCAGACAGCAGGAGCCAGACATCATGAACCAGACAGCGGGAGCCAGACAGCAGGAGCCAGACAGCAGGAGCCAGACAGTAGGAACCAGACAGCAGGAGCCAGAGAGGAGCAGCTATACAGAAGAGCCACACAGCAGGAGCCAGAGAGGAGCAGCTATACAGAAGAGCCACACAGCAGGAGCCAGACAGCAGGAGCCACACAGCAGCAGCCACACAGCAGGAGCCAGAAAGTAGGAGCCACAAAGTAGGTACCAGAAAGCTGAGCCAGACAGAAGGAGCAAGAAAGCAGGGTCAGATAGCAGTAGCCAGAGAGCAGGAGCCAGAAAGGAGGAGCCAAACAGGAGCCAGACTGCAGGAGCCGGACATCAGGAGACAGACGGTAGGATGCAGACAGCAGAAGCCAGAAAACACGAGCCAGACAGCAGGAGCCAGAAAACAGGAGCCAAACATCAGGAACCAGACAACAGGAGCCAGAAACCAGGAGGCAGACAGCGGAAGCTAGACAGGACCCAGACAGCAGGATCAAGAAAACAGGAGCCAGAAAGCAGGGGCCAGGAAGCATGAGCTAGAGAGCAGGAGCCAGACAGCGGGAGCCAGACAGCAGGAGCCAGACAGCGGGAGCCAGACAGCAGGAGCCAGGAAACAGGAGCCAGACAGCAGGAGCAAGAAAGCAGGAACCAGAAGGCAGGGACCAGGCAGCAGGAGCCAGACAGCAGGAGCCAGACAGTAGGAACCAGACAGCAGGAGCCAGAGAAGAGCAGCTAGACAGAAGAGCCACACAGCATGAGCCAGAAAGCAGGAGCCAGACAGCAGGAGCCAGAAAGCAGGAGCCACACAGCAGGAACCAGAAAGTAGAAGCGAGAAAGTAGGAACCAGAAAGCAGAGCCAGACAGAAGGAGCAAGAAAGCAGGGTCAGATAGCAGGAGCTAGAAAGCAGGAGCCAGAAAGGAGGAGCCAAACAGGAGCCAGACTGCAGGAGCCGGACATCAGGAGACAGACGGTAGGATGCAGACAGCAGAACCCAGAAAACACGAGCCAGACAGCGGGAGCCAGCCAGACAGCAGAACCAGACAGCAGGAGCTAGACAGCAAAAGCAAGACATTAGAACCAGACAGCAGGAGCTAGAAAGCAGGGGCCAGAAATCAGGAGCCAGAGAGCAGGAGCCAGACAGCGGCAGCCAGAAAACACGAGCCAGACAGCAGGAGCATGAAAGCAGGAGCCAGACAGCGGGAGCCAGACAGCAGGAGCCAGAAAGTAGGAGCCACACAGCAGGAGCCAGAAAGTAGGAGCCAGACAGCAGGAACTAGAAAACAGGAGCTCTTATTTGAGTTGGGCCTCACATCGAGCATGAAGTACTTTCGAGCTATTCTGACCCTGCACCCTCACAGGGAAATGAAATACAAAACGATTGAGTCACCAACGTTTTAATCAATTGCACCCAGTCTGTTCGAATACTAAGTAGGATGTGTTTAACCAATCGCCTGTTCGCGAAAACCTGGTGTCACGACTATTTGATCGTGATCCATAAAAGCATGCCCATGCTGTAGTCGGAACCGTATAATCGACTCTGATTTTAGTGATTTCTATTGGACATGGAAGGATGTTGTCGCTTTATTTACATTCGTTAGGCTTTTCCTAACCCTCACCATATGGGCATTACTGTACCCATCAAAACACATGACAAATACGGAAGAGAATTTATGGATGTCAAATTCTATATAATGAGGAATACAACGTTTCGGAGTATATACTAACTTCTTTATCAGGTGAACAAATGCTATGAGGCAGAGAACATGTATATGTACCTGTAAGAACAACAAAGGTAGTAAGATAACAAAGGTGGAAAACTTACGGAGGGAAGCCATCAGATAATCGGCGGTGATAGGTGATCAGCAATTGACAAAAGCAGACCAACGCTAAACTTAGAAGACAGCCACAAAAACAGACGAGGTACAACTGCCGAGGAACAGACAAATAAATCCCAAACTCACTTTCTCATTTATTAATGTGTGTGGTTTAATGAGTAAACCAATAATTCCTGACTTTATCCAGTTCATCAAATAATCGAAAACGCCATTATCCTTGCTGAGACTAAATTGGATGACTATGACGCCTTAGATATAATGAACTACACAGCCAACACTAAGAACACATCAACTGACACAAGATCAGGAGGATTAGCAATCCTAGTGGAGAAAACTATCAACAAGTATGTCTCACACAGCCCATTTAACAGTGACTGTTTACTTCTTGTCAAGATACCATCTAGGATACTGCTATCTGAGGGTGGTTTAGTACTTGGTGTTGCATACATCCCTCCTGAGGGATCACCCTACCATGACCATGTGTGTTTTAATGATATTGGAGCTGAGATATGTAGGTATGATTCTGATTTTTATGTTGTAATCTTACGAGAATATAATGCCAGGACAAGACATACATGTGACTTCACTTCTATAGAAACATTTGTTTGTTGTTTAACGCCACACTCAGCAATTTTCCAACTATATGACGGCTGTCTGTAAAATCGAATCTGGACCAGACAATCCAGTGATTGATGTCATGAGCATCGATCAACGCAATTCAGATAGATGACATGCATCAACCAAGTCAGCGAGCCTGACAACCCGTCCCCGTGAGTCGCCTCTTACAACAAGCATAGTCGCCTTTTACGGAAAGCATGGGTTGCTGAAGACCTATTCTACCACGGATCTTCACAGGTCTCTTTTTGACATTGGAGATGAATTCTAGTATATCTTCAAATGTGAATATTTAAATGAACAAAGGGACGTGAACATCACAAGACACTATTCAAAAAGACCGAATATGTTACAGGTGAGGTGAGGTGAAATTGGGTTTAACGTCGCGTCCAAGATTATTGCACTTATATAGCGACGTGCATGCACGTGTATGTGTGTGTGTGGCTGCTTGTACTAGTCCGGACTGATGCCGATTTATAGTGCTAGCTCACTGAGATACCATGCCGCAGTTTAACATGAATACCCCACTCAGACACAGTATACTGACTCCGAGCCGACCAGTCCATGTTTTAGCCCCTTAATGCCGAGCGCCAGACAGGGTAACAACAAGTACAATCTTTTAACGTCTTTTTGTATGACGCGGCCCGGGATCGAACCCTGGACCTTCCGCTCTCCGGGCGGACGCTCTACCACAAGACCACGGAGGCGGTCCGATTATGTTACAACTCCAGCAGTTATTTAACTGCCATAAGATATCTGTCCAAAAGAAACTATGTAAATTCATTAAAAGTGTAATGAAAATTATAAAACAACCGGTTAATCTCTGTCCACCGCAATGTAAAATACTGTTGTACCTCATATGCCGATGCACCCGGCCTGCGAGAAATAGTGTTGTTCTCTTCTGTTATGTAACAGGCAAGAGGTGCTCAGGCTAATGGTGGAGTGAGTGTATACTCCGAAATGTTGTGTTATTAAAGAAGATGACATAAAAGAAGATCCATAAATCCTCTTCCTTATGTGTATCCCTTCTACATGTCCTTCAAAGACTTCACATGATAAATATCTAACTTCAGAACAAAGAGACAAGGCATTATTAGCCGAGTGTGTTTCCGTTACGTAAATATCATACTGTATACTAGTATACTAGAAATAAAATAAATGTATTTACAAAACGGAAAAACACGGGAGGAATTATCTCTTTATCATACAATGTAATTCTTAAAATAATGAAGTTGGTTGGTTTTGTTTGTTGTTAAACGCCGCACTCGGTAATATTCCAGCTATATGACGGCGGTCTGCAAATAATCGAGTCTGGACAAGACAATCCAGTGATTGACATCATTAGCAAAAATGAAGACGTTAAAGATGTAATTTCACTAACTGAAAAAAACATGAAGTAACCGAGTATGAACACAATATTCGAATTTATCTAATACCGCTGAAGGATTTGTAGCCATGTTTGTCAACAACAACCCCTATCTAAGCATTTAGTGTATTGAGAAAAAAGGCATTGCATCCTTGTATGAAGCTTGAAAGTAGTTCTTCCTAGGCAACCTCTGTTGCACATTTACTGGATCCTGATACCAAGTTGAGGATTGGTTTATAGCGCCGATAGTACTATCCATTAAACTAAGTTCTTACCGAGCTCCTGAGTTATCAAACTGCAGAATGTAACAAAGATGGAGGTTTTGTCTTACCTGGAGAGACAGAAGCTGCCTTGGATGCCGCGTCGGGGTTATCGTAATCTGTGTATGATGGCAATTATTGAACAATATGCTTGGAAGACGAAGTCGATATTTTCAATTTGAACCAGGACATTGTGAACATGTCTAAATGTATAAATTACATATTACACGGATAACATCCAGAAAGTTAGAGTACTAATGCTACACCAGTGACAAATGTACAGAATGTGTAAATGATTAGTTTATGTCATCTTATCTCAATACAAATTAAAATACATTATGAAATGCTACATAAATCGCAAGTTGAAAAATGTTATTTCCAGCCTAAATATCTAAATACTAATGATGATTTCCCATCGAATTTATAAATGACCTGTTGACAATGTAAAGTTATCATTATCAATGTAATCATTTTGATTCACAATGATCACTCTTTAAATTTCCATTTACACCCCTTAATAAATTCGTTATATTCCAACATGTATTACCATGGACACAGACCGCACCACCCTGACGATTTTCGAGACATCGTTCGGTGGAAACGCTTGTCTTCATTGAGCAGGCACCAACTGACAGCTATCCAAAAGTCAAATAGTAAAAGTGCAATGTTTTATTTCAGTCATAACCACACAATTCAAATGTTTTTGCAGCATTATTTACTAACCTACAAATGAATATACTTATCCTGAAATAACTTTTACTAAATATTATAGTTGTTTTTTGGTTGTTGATTAACGCCACACTCAGCAATATTCCAGCTATATGACGGCGGTCTGTAAATAATCGAGTCTGGACCAAAAAATCCCGTTAGTCGCCTCTTACAACAAAGCCTAGTCGCCTTTTATGGCAAGCATGGGTTGCTGAAGACCTATTCTTCCCCGGATTTTCACAGATCTCTAAATATTATATGAAACCTTAATTAAATATAGCACCATAAGCACTTCTCATTGCAATCATAGAAAAACAACAATTTTATAATAAACAAATATAGCTTACCATCTGATCTTTTCCTTTTCGAAACACAGTGTAAACCTCCATCTCCTGTCGTTCCAAGGAACTAGTCAGCTGTCGGCATGTCAGAGTTTTAATGTCGTATGCAACAGCCTGACAGGAGCCACTTTCCATGCACTTGACTTTGCACAAGTTGATACCAATAGGATGGTTCAATGTTTGGATGCAGGAAACACATGCAAGGAACAGAGGCACTAGGAATGGCAGAAACATCTTCTGAGGCACCCGTTGCTTCCACATGGACAGATGCACAATCCTGTCTGAACACTGCGGTTTGCTTATAAATACTACATCGTCACGTGAGTCACTATATTGATCTGGTATGG